CAAAAATAATCTATTTTGCGCGGTGGGGTCTTTCTGAGGGTTGAGTGAGTGTACATTAGGCATCAAAACCTCGGATTCGTTTGAAAGTGCACAATGGATTGTTGGATTAGCGGGTCAAAATTACAATATCCCCAACTGCACAAGGAAATGATACTTTTTTAAAGTCAATACATCTTGCTCTAATTTGCAACAGGATAATGAGGCAAGAAAAAATTCAATAATTTAGATTATCTTTGCAAGCTCATGTGAAAGTAAGCGATTTAGGCTGGGAAAGATAAAGAGGCACTTTTCATAGTAACTAGTACTTGCAAAGGGCGAATATAACGGTTCCTTAAACTTGCCGTCTGCTGCTTGAGTCTCCTACATTTCTCAACCAAAAATTGTCAAAAATCAGTGTTTCTTGGGGAGACGTGACGTTAGCAACATACTGTTCTGCTAAACAGATTTTTACAAATTGTGGTTTCATCGGCGTACTTGGTGTGTCAAGAAGCACTACGCAAGACATATGCATTGATCAGCCGTTAAGCCTACTAGACCGTCAGGCTGTTATTCAGTTTTGACCCTCCCACTCAGCATGCGCATAATCCCATTTAATCACCTCAGAATTGAGATTTAAACTTCTAACGTTCTCTACATATCCTCAAGATGAAGCTGCATAACGCATGTCGTACCCGTAATTCGCATTTCAAATAAACTTTAGCCAAAGGCAGCTACTTTAGAAGTATCGCACCGTTAGGCCTAAAGTACGATAGCCCCAATCATATGTGCTATAAGGAACACTGGCCCTCCTGGGTGAAGGGGGTCAAAAAACTTTTACCTCTCTATGTGAATGGGGTCGTTGACCGGGAAGGGGAGGGGGCAATTTCCGCCTACCATTAAAGTTTCTATGCAAAGTTTGTTAAATTAAATCATTGAGAAATGAAAGATTTGTTAAAGAAGTAAAAAAAAATCTTTATGCCTATTTGCAGATCGTTTGCCTACACGACAGAATGCGAATGATGATGATAAATATACATTTTAAGTATTTTTTGCGTTATAACAATATAATTACGAGAATAAATTGTGCATAATCAAGCTGTTTCTAAAGGATAATTGTGCTAGAATGATGTTTACTTTTGAATCATTTTTCTTTGATTGAGCTCGTGCTATTGTAGCTGTCGTCAGTGCGAGAGTATGGACTAGAATGAGGAGAATCTCCTCTTTCAGATGATATTTAATACATAGTACCTCACTTCAATTTTTCAAAAAATACCACGAGTTGTGTGTAGGCTAGCACTCGCCACTTAGCTGCGTTGCTCATCAGCCTCTTCTATAGCAGCCACTACGAAGGCACATTGATTTGCGAGGGTATTAGCAATAATGAGATAAC